AAAGCTCCCTCCACACTGTCTCCATCAAACACTCCCAGGACAGGGACAGCACGGTGTTAGATACAGAGTAAAGACCCCTCTACACTGTCCCCATCAAATGCTCCCAGGGTAACGAAATTAAGGTCAGACAGTGTGTCTGATTAATAAATTGTTTATATGTTGATTTTGTTATATCTGTTTAAGTAGGTAGACTAAGAACTGTATGGAAAAGGAGTTCTTAGATGTTCTGTATATTAGACCTGTTAAGTCCAGGAGTTCCAGTAAGTGTCACCATGGACTGAAAGTTGTAAATACATAGTTAACATGGAATTTCCATAATAAAAGTAAAAGAATTTATATAGAGAGATCCTCACAAAATATGTCCAATATGTGGGTAATGTATGTGAGTTTTATATTTATAATATAGGTGCCAAAAATATGTTTCTAGGTGACTGAGGATATAATTTGCCAGTATGCCCATTTTCTGCCTGGCTTCAGTCCTTCGGTCCTGAGAAATATTCCAGCCTCAGTTGTAGCCAGTGCGTGTCCATGCTTCACCCCATTCCTGTCTCAGCTAAGTGCAACTCAGAAAGCTGTCGTACTGGAAGTTGTCCGGGTAAGTGCCAGCTCTTTGTCTGAATCCATTTCATTGTTATTTGCTGGTCAAGGTGAGGGAGCAGGGTGGTAATGAATGGGCCTGGACCACTTTACACTTCTCTTTATTCATTGACGGGATGAGGGTGTCGCTGACTAGGCAACACTTATTGCCCAGAGGCAGTTCAGAGTCCACCACGTTGCTGTGGGTCTGGAGTCGCATGTAGGCCAGACCAGGTAAGGATGGCAGTTTCCTTCCTTAAAGGGCATTAGTGAACCAGATGGGTTTTTCCAACAATTGACATCATTTGAATCTTAATTCCAGATTTTTGCTTATTGAACTCAAATTCACTCCTGCTGTGGCATGATTCAAACCTGTGTCCCAAGAACATTATCTGGATCTTTGGATTAACAACCTAGTGATAATACCATGAGGCCATCGCCTCTCCTGGGGAGCTCTGAGCCATTACTAATGGGGTCTCTCTAAGGAGAATTGTGGCTTACAGCAACAGACAACCTGCATTACTGCTCAACTTTCAATAATTTTCCACTCGATCCCTGCTGCCCCACAGCGCTGGATCACTGGTTGTCCTAGGCCAGCATTTATTGGCCATTCCTACTTGGCCAGAGGGCAGTTAAGAGTCAACCATATTGCTGTAGGTCGGGAGTCACATATAGGGCAGACCAAGTAAGGATGGCTGTTTTTCTCCCTAAAGGGCATTAGTGAATGAGAGAGGTTTTTCCAACAATCGATGGTGGTTACTTGGTTGCCATGAGGCTAGCTGTTTATTTTCAGATTTTTATTAAATTTGAATATCGCTCTCTGTCATGGTGGGATTCGAATCCTTGTCCCCAGAACATTAGATTGGGTTCTCGGCTATTAGCCCAGTGACATTACATCTCTGCCACTGCCTCCAGTAAAGAATTGACATAAACAAGGAATAGAACCACACTTGCAATCCTGAGAGCCACAGCACTGATTGATTTTTATTCACTCATGGGGATGTGGGCATCGCTGGGTGGGCCAGGACTTAATACCCATCTCATAACTGCCCTGGAGAAGGCAGTGATGAGCTGCTGCCTTGAACCATTACAGTCTTGTAGTATAAGGACACCCACAGTGCTTTGGTTCCGAGCAGTTTGATGCCACCAAGCAGCTTGTTCAGCCATTTCAGAGTGCACTGCATTGTTGTGGGTCTGGAGTTACATTATAGGCCAGACATGGTAAGGACAGCAAATTTGTTTCCATTGAGGGCATTAGCGAACCAGGTGGATGTTTGCATCAGTCCAGTAATTCCATAATCATTATTAAAGAGACTATCATGTATTCCCAATATAATCGTCATTTGAATTTAAGAGTTGCCACGGTGGGATTTGAGCTGGTGTATCTTGGGTATTAGTCCTGACAGTACAACATCACCTGCAGGTTGTACTCTATTTGGATGATCAGATTTGAAGGTTTCTGACAGTGTTGTACGGAGCTCTGTTCCCACCTGCCTATATCTTCCTGCGTCCCTTGCCTTATCAAGAGATTTTAAAAAATAATTTCATTAGAGTCATAGAGATACACAGCATGGAAAGCGATCCTTTAGTTCAACTTGTCCATGCCAACCAGATTTCCCAGTTAAATTTAGTCCCATTTGCCAGCATTTGGCTCATATCCCTCTAAACTCTTCCTTTCCTATACCCACCCAGATGCCTTTTAAATGTTATAATTGTACCAGTCTCTACACTTCCTCTGGCAGCTCATTCCATACACGCACCACACTCTGTGTGAAAAAGTTGTCCCTGAGGTCCCTTTTAAAGCGTTCCCCTCTCAGCTTAAAACTATGTCTTCTAGTCTTGGACTCCCCTACCACAGGGAAAAAACCTTGCCTACTTACCCTATCCATGGCCCTCATGTCTTTATAAACCTCTGTAAGTTCACCCCTCAGCCTTTGATGCTCCAAGGAAAACAGCCCCAGCCTATTCAGCCTCTCCCTATAGCTTAAACCCTCCAACATCGGCAACATCTTTGCACCCAGTCTCTGCACACATCCCACAAAATGAATAAGTAAAAAAAAAAGAAAAATAGATCTTTTCTGAGCCCTTTCAAGTTTCACAACATCCTTCCTATAGCAGTGAGACCTAAATTGAACGCAGTATTCAAAAAGTGGCCTAAACAATGTCCTGTACAGCCACAACATAACCTCCCAACTCCTATACTCAACGCACTGACCGATAAAGGCAAGCGTACCAAACACTTCCTTCACTATCCTGACTTTCACCAAACTATGAACCTGCACTCCAAGGTCTCTTTGTTCAGTAACACGCCAGAACCTTACCATTAAATGTATAACTGACTTTCCTTTCTAAAAAGCAGCACCTCACATTTATCTAAATTAAACTCCATCTGCCACTCCTTGGCCCATTGGCCCATCTGATCAAGATCCCATTGTACTCTCAGGTAGCCACCTTCACTGTCCACCACACCTCTAATTCTAGTGTCATCTGCAAACTTACTTACTATAACTCCTATGTTCACATGCAAATCATTTATATAAATGACAAAAAGCAGTGGACCCAGCATCGATCCTTTTGGCACACCCCTGCTCACAGGCCTGCAGTCTGAAGGGCAACCCTCCACCACTGCCCTCTGTCTTCTACCTTTGAACCAGTTCTGTATCCAAATGGCTAATTCTCCCTGTATTCCATCTGATCCAACCTTGCTAACCAGTCCACCATGAGGAACTTTTTTGATTGCCTTACTGAAGTCCATATCAGTCACATCCACCACTCTGCCCTCATCAATCCTCATCGTTACTTCTTCAAAAAACTCAATCAAGTTGGTGAGATATGACTTCCCAAGCACAAAGCCATGTTGACTATCTGTAATCAGTCCTTGCATTTTAAGATGTCCAACACCACCTCCTCTATAATAGACATTTTTCAAGATGTCGCTATCTATTTCCCCATGTTCTATACCTTCCATATCCTTCTCCACAGTAAACACTGATGCAAAATACTCAAGTAGTATCTCCCCCATCTCCTGATCATTAAGGGGCCCTATTCTCTCCCTAGTTACCCTTTTGTCCTTAATGTATTTATAAAATCCCTTTGGATTCTCCCTAACCCTATTTGCCAAAGCTATCTCATGTCCCCTTTTTGCCCTCCTGATTTTCCTCTTAAGTATATTCCTACTGCCATTATGCTCCTCTAAGGGTTCACTTGATCCCTGTTGTCCGTAGCTGACATATGCTTCCTTCTTTTTCTTGATCAAACCCTAACAGGAACATACTGTTCCTGGACTCTGGTTATCTCATTTTTGAAAACTTACCATTTTCCAGCCTTACCTGCAAACATCTGCCCCCAATCAACTTTTGAAAGTTCTTGCCAAATGCCGTCAAAACCGGCTTTCCTCCAATTTAGAACTTTAACTTTTAAATCCGGTCTATTCTTTTCCATCATTATTTTAAAACTAATAGAATTATGGTCACTGCCCCCAAAGTGCTCCCCCACTGACACCTCAGTCACCTGCCCTGCCTTATTTCCCAAGAGCCGGTCAAGTTTTCAATCTTCTCGCGTAGGTATATCCACACACTGAATCAGAAAAGTTTCTTGTACACACTTAACAAATTCCTCTGCAGCCTTTAACACTATGGCAGTCCCAGTCTATGTTTGGAAAGGTAAAATCACCTACCATAAACACCCTATTTTTCTTACAGAAAACTAAGATCTCCTTACAAATTTGTTTCGCAATTTCCCACTGATTACTGGGGGGTCTTATAGTACAATCCCAATAAGGTGATCATCCCTTTCTTATCTCTCAGTTCCACCCAAACAACTTCTCTGGACAATTCCTCCCTAAATAAGGCTTTAATGTTATCCCTAACTAAAAATGCCACTCCCTCCCCTCTCTTGTCCCCCTTTTCTATATTTCCTATAGCATCTATGCCCTGGAACATTAAGCCAGTCCTGTCCATCCTTGAGCCAAGTCTCTAATCGCTATGATATCCCAGTCCCATGTTCCCAACCAGGCCCTGAGTTCATCTGCCTTACCTGCTAGGCCTCTTGCACTGAAATAAATGCAGTTAAATTTATCAGTCCTACCTCGTTCTCTGCTTTCTTCCTGCCTACCCTAACTGTTGATTTGCTCCTTTTCCCAACTGTAGCAGTCTCAGACTGATCTCTTTCCTCATGATCTACCTGCACCACCCTCCCCGCCCCCCAACCCTTTACTAGTTTAAATGATCCCGAGCAGCTCTAGCAAATCTCCCCACCAGTATATTAGTCCCCTTCCAATTCAGGTGCAATCTGTCCTTCATATACAGGTCGCTTCTATCCCAGAAGAGATTCCAATGATCCAAAAATGTGAATCCTTCTCCCCTGCACCAGCTCCTCAGCCACGTATCGGGAATAATCCAGATATTACAATCCGCAAGAACCTTCTTTTTAAATTCCTGCCTAACTTCCTATATTCTTTCCTTGGAATCTCATCCTTTTCCTGTTTTCATTAGTTCCAATGTGTACAACGACTTCCTGCTAGTCCCTCCCCACTTTGAGAATATTCTGCACCCTCTCCGAGATATCCTTGATCCTGGCACCTGGGAGGTAACGCACCATTCTGATGTCTTGCTGTTGGCCGCAGAAACGTCTGTCTGTGCCTCTGACTAGAGAGTCCCCTATCACAATCAATCACTTGGAACCTGATGTAACCCTCATTATATTAGAGCCAGTCTCTGCACCAGAATCCTGGCTGTCTGTGCTACGTTCCCCTGAGAGTTCATCACCACCTACATTTTCCAAAACCGCATACTGTACCTGTTTGTGATGGGGATAACCACAGGAGACTCCTGCACGACCTGCCTCCCTCCCCAACTTTTCCTGGTAGTGACCCATCTACCTGACTGTGTTTTCGTTTCTTCTCTTTTCCTACTGCTGCCATCCATCACATCCCCAGCTTCTGTAAATTCCTCATTGTCTCTAACTGCCGCTCTAACTGATCCATGTGATCCAATAGGAATCTCAATCGCTATAGTAGTTTTATTAAAGTGACAGTAAGTGCTTTATTTCATTGGGCTAAGCGGGCCTTCCTTCCAAAGTGAAGACCCAAGCTTCAGATCAGATTGAAATAAACCGAACTGCTATCCAACTGTAAATTAATGTTACCAAAAATGTTTATTTTACACAATTCTATGGTTAGGGTCTTTATTCAGAACATGTGACTTGAAAATGACAGGATCTCCCAAAAGTTCTCTCTTCTAAATTAACCCTTTTTGTTTTGTATATACTTTCTCAGTTACTGATCCTAACGTCTTATGCTTTTAATTATAAATATATATTTATAATCATGTCTAGCCTCCCAGCAGTGAGGACATATTTCAAAATGAACAGTAGCAAATATTAATTGAACAAAGTTTCACATCATACAAACGCTCGCTGGTGTAGTAACAGGCTGTGAATAAGGTACTATATCCTATAAGTTTAATACAGGACTTTCAGTGCCCCTGTGAATTTTGGGACAGGCCTGCCTCCATTGCTTTCTCTCTCTCTCATGCTCTCTCTCTCTGTCTCTCTCTACCTGCCCTGATCCTCCCTCCCACCCCTCTCTCTGTCTTCCCAGCATGGGAAACCATAGCTTAGTAGATGGTAAGAGAGCTACAGGGAAAGAGGGAGAGGGAAGGAGAAGTAAATGCTGTAGGTAAATGGCTCAGGAATGCCTTGCACCATAGGTTTACTGACACTATTAACCGCAGCAGTGAGCCTTCTTGCTTCTTTAACAAAAATGTTGGTGCCTTTTTCAGACTGTGAACAGGCATGATGGGATCCAGCTGGCCCAGTTTGGCTGCCTGGTTCCGTTTGTCCCATTGAAAGACCTGGTGTTCGATTCTGAATCTTTCCTGAGAAACCACAGCCTCTTTAGGAACTGGGCATGGTCACCGCAGCAGGTCAGTAAGATTGGGAGCTCCAGAATATTATTGTCATCCTCTTATAGAGTGTCAGAGATCTTCCCAAAAACCCAGCTCTCTGTCCTTCAATTTATTTCATTCGATGCTGTGGGTCAGCAGAGGACCAATGGTATTTGTGGTCACCCCTACAATGTTCATCGGGCATCATGGATTAATCTCCTATGGAGCTGGTTGAGTAGGAATTCCCTTGGTAACAGGAAATGGCCTACCCAGCTGGAACTCAACACCTGAGCCCTTTATAAAACAGACCTAGAGGGAGCTCTTGTGGTGCAATGATAGTGTCCCTACCCCTGAACCAAGAGACCTGGGTTCAAGTCCCACCTGCCCCAGAGGTGTGTAAAGAAAAATAAATGAAATATAACTTTCTGTCCCAGGCTGGGGCTAGTCTATGTACCTAATGAATAGTGGCCAAATTTTGGTGTTTAACAATAAATGTTTTTTCTTTCCAGTTGGGTTTCCTGACTTATTACAGCATGTTTGTAATTTAAGGAGGTCATGTGATGCAGTGGGCAGTGTCCCTGCCTCTGAGCCAGAAGCTCTGGGTTCGAGTCCCATTCTAGCACTTCACAGCCAAGTTCATACCAGTCAGGAAAGTTGAGAATCAACTTGTAAATCCTTCCAAAGCATGTCAATGGCAGACAGTAAGAGAAGGAGAGATTCCTGGGCAGGCATGGGCTGGAAAGAACACTGGAGCCTCTTCCATCACCAGTGTGCAACCTGCATGTCAATGAGTGTGCTACCACAGCAACTCCAGCTCCTTAGCTAGTTCAGTTGACTGGATGGTTGGTGTGGCTCCGATTGGTGCCAATAACAATGATGTTCAATCCCAGTTCCAGCCTGGGTTGGATTCAGGACCTAACTTCAGGCAGAGAGCTCAAGGGGCTCTTTTCCTCCTGTCTGTTTTATTCCCCGTTCCGCTATTCGCTTTCCAGAGTCACAGGAGATGGTAAACGTGTGGCACTGGACGAGTTATCCCATCAGCCATCTCTCAGAGATGGTTATTAGAGTGGAACTAAGTTGCATGATCTCCAGATCTCACTTTGATTGCATTAGAAGGATAGACAGGAAATTTACAAACCTTTTCCCCTGATTAACCCAAGTTTCTAAACCTGTTTGTTTTTTTTTTGTTAACCTGCCCTGGGTTATTCACTGGATTTCAGATGGATGCCCAGTGTCTGTAATGTGGTTAGTGGATGTTGCTGCTCAGAATAAATGTCTGTAATGTTTTCCTTTATTCCAGGCCCAGTTTATTTTCAAGCAGGTTCAAGCAGCTTCAAACATAACAGAGTATCCTGTTCAGTGAGTAAAACTGGCTGTGTGTGTTGCAAGAAGATTTTACATTATGACTGGCCAGTTCCTGTGGCCTTGCCCTGTCTCTCATTAATCAGGGTTGCGGATTGGGAGAGGGTGTGTTTTACTCTAATGGAGCTGAGTTATAATGTCCCATGCAAACAGCAGCACCTCTGACAGTGCAGCACACCCTCAGTCACATTAGGATGGCTTTCCAGAGTCAGACTCGAACTCTTACTTCAAGGTGAGACTGCTCCTGAGTGATCCACTTGTGTTCGGGACAAAAGGGAGAAAAGCTCTCTCCATCTGTGCACAGTGTTGCTGGGAGGTTGATGAACAGGACACAAGGCTCTAATTTAATGCTGCTTTCTCTTTGTCATTCTCAGATCTTTGGGAAACGTGGCCTGGGGTGCAGACTGTGCAATTCTCCGAGAGCAAACGGCAGATTCAGAGTTTCTAGAGTTGGTCCGTTTTCTCAGCGAGCTGCCTGGTGGAATCAGACAATCTCTGGTATGATTAAAACCTCCACTTCACTGTGTTCTGATAATATCCAGTCACGTTACTATCCTGATATACAGACAATCAACTCTTCCCTATTGGTTCAGCGAGTAATTAGACCACCCACGGGTACCTCAACTTTTGCCTTTGAGACATTTCTCGTTAAACCCAGGTCATTAAAGTGAAGACAGTTGTGTGTTTACTCTCTAGCTGGTTTGTTCAGTTTAGGTCTCCTGGGGACCTGCAGGATTGCAAAGGGCTCCATGCTGTTCAATCACACAGTCACAATAAAGGGAGCAGGAGTAGATCATTTGGCCCATTGAGCTGCTCCATCAATTCGGTATGACTGGGCTAATCCTAGGTTTCACCCCACTTTCCCACCCACTCCCCATCTCCCTCAATTCCCCAAGAAACCAAAACACTCTCTGTCCCAGGCTCAAATACCTTCACCAATGGAGCATCCATGGCCGTCTGGGGTAGGCAATGCCAAAGACTCACAACTCTGAGTGAAAAGTTTCTCCTCATCTCAGTCCTAAATGATTTGCTTCTTTCCCAGAGGCTGTACCCCCATGTCTTCGATTCCCGGACCAATGGAACAGATCTCTCAGCATCTACCCTCTGGAGACCTTTCAGAATATTTTATGGTTCAGTGAGATTCCCTCTCATTCTTCTAAATTCCAGACAATATCAGCCCAATGTACTGAGCATTTCTCCCAGAGACCAATCTGGCTGCACTTCCTCCAGTGCAAATACATCCTTCCATAACCATGGAGACAAGAACGCAGTATTCCTGATCCTAACAGAGTGCAGACACTGGGGCTGTTCTCTGTGGAACAGGAGGTTTTTAGGTGTTGAAAAGCATTCATTCATAAATCAAATTATACAAGGGTTTTAATGGACTTGATAAGGGCAAATTGCTTCCAGTAACCAGAAGGGGACACAGATTTCAGATGATTGTCAGAAATAAAACAGCAGTGTGCTAAGTTGCTAAAGCAATGAGTTACTCTAATCTGGAATGTGCTGCCTGAAGGGTTGGTGGAAACTGATTGAATAATTAGTTTATGAGTGAAATTGGATTATTACTTGATTGCTGGGCTGTGGGAGAGGAGAAGCTGAGTGGACTGAATGGTCAGATTGGACACATTGGTTTCAAGCCTCACCTCTGACAGTGCAGCACTCCCTCTGTCCTGCTCTGGATCATATGCTCGGGGCTTTAAAGGGAGAATTGAATTCACAATCTTTGGGGCTCTAGGCAGAGCCCTGGGGGGAAGAAGCCAGTGACTGTCATCATCAGGAGGGTCTCGTAAAGGGGCAGCCCAGCAATTTGATGCAGGCCCAAGTTACTTCCTCCCTGTCTCCCTCCAGCAATTCTTCTTTCCTTGTTGTGTCCCCTTTCTAACTAAACAGCTTATCTTTATTTTTATGCTTTATCTTTCCAGCGAAAATGCATTGTCAAGGAGCTAGGCCTCAGGCCGGGAATATCCCAGAGCAATATCCTCCGCATGGGTCCGGAGATGTTAGTCAATTTACCGTGAGTGGCTGTGCATTTTATCCTCCCCTCTCAATGCCCTTTACATCCTTGGACCTTTTTAATCCTGTCTCAATGATCTCTAAGATGCATAATGACACTGACTCCATGATCCACACCTTCCCAAGTAAACCTGCCTTCCCATCATGCGCTGATTAAGCTCCTTGTTGCTGTGTTCATGTCAGTGTTTGTGTCAGTGTCATTAGTTTTTTTTGTACAGAAGTGTTTGCGTTCAAACTTCCCTTCAGTGTGGGGAGCGGAACATTGCTGGTAGCCACCTCCTTTAAGGTAATTTGATGCTGTTGAGTATGATCCACTCTGGTTATGATGAAGAAGGTGCTGGATTTAAAGTTTGGCTAAGTTGGGAGGCAGCCCTGAGGTAGTAATTGATCTCAATGGGAAGGTTGGGTGAGACGGTGATGTATAAATGCAGATTTTCTAAAAACATATAGAACAACAAACCGTACAGCACAAGAACAGGCCCTTCAGCCCACCATATCAGTGCTGACCATGATGTTAAATCTAAACCAATCCCATCTGCCTGCACATGGTCCGTATCCCTCAATCCTCTGCCATTTAATGTGTCTGTCTAAATGCCTCTTAAATGTTGCTATCGTACCTGCTCCGACTACCTAACCTGGCAGATCATTCCAGGTAGCTACCACCCTCTGTTTTAAAAAAAACCTTGCCTCGCAAATCTCCCTTAAACATTACCCCTCACATTAAAACTATGCCCCGAATATTTGTTTTCTCCTTGTCTCCAATTCTCCCATCAATCGTTCACACTCCCCACCACCACCCCCCCTCCCCCTCCCACCTGCCTGCCCGAACTGGATGATGTGCTTAGGGGTGCGGGGGAGTTGCTTTTGTGGGTGTGGGAGAGGGGCGGGGGATGAGGTATTTGGGGGTAAATGGGGGAGGGGCAGGGTGAGGTGTTTAGGAGGGTGTGTGGGGGTGGGGCAGGGTGAGGGGTTTTTGGGGGGGGATGTGTGGGGGTGGGGTTTGTCGGGGTCGGGCGGGGTGATTGACTCCCTGTCTCCCACTCCACACCCTCAGGACTGCACTGGGAGGGTCGGACTGGATGTTGTGCCGCAGTTCATGATGTGGGTCTGGAACACAGAGCCTCTGACTCTGCGGCATACATTAGCACCCAGTCATTGGGCAGCTAGTCAAATGCAGAGACCCCTGAAGCCTCAGGCTTGGCTTTGGGCCTGGTCAGCATGTGGTGATGGTTTCTGCACAGCTGGAGTGTACCCTCCAGGAGTACTAACTCGCCCAGATACAGGCTCCAATCCCAAATAATGGCATCTCTGTCTCTCTGTCTCTCTCTCTCTCTCTCTATCTCTCTGCGGTTTCAGCCTGAAATTCTTCACCAGTTTTCTGAATGACTCCATGCGAACCATCCTGGATCATGTGACAAGACATACCACCCGCCTTCTAACCCTGCCGCCACAAAAACGCAGCTTTCTGGCAGGAAAGGCTCTGCAGCTTCTGGTACGTTTCTCTCATCTCCTCCTTCCCGGGAACGTTGTTGACTCTTTTTGCTGTTCTTCGTCCCATTTTGCCCCCCCTCGGCGTGTTGTAGTAGAGTCAGTGACAGTAGTGGGGGGAGAGTGTGTACATGGGGCTGTGGTGATTAAATGGGTGGGTAGAATCTGTGGGGGTGGGGGTGGGGGAAGAGTGTGGGATGAGCGGGTGTCTCTCATATTCTGGTATCAATTTATGCTGCTGGGTATTTGAACCTTTGATTAAAATGTCAGTTTGCTCATTGACAGGGAATTGGGCCCAATGATGAAATTTCAGGAGACGGTCTGGACAGCATGGGCCCCCTGGTCGCCTTTATTGATGAAACATTGATCAAACAAATCAACCCCCGAGAGCTGGTGCTGCGCCTGGATGAGGTCAAAGGTTACTGTGTCCCAGAGGAAAATAAGAAAGCATTTGGTTGGATGTTGACCAGGAGTGAAGTGCTGGGGTAGGTGAAACAGGAAAATGGAATTGAAACACAAACAGTCACTGAGAGCAGGGTTTACAGCTGCTAAAGCCTGTGACTGACTCTTGAGTCCAAAGAACCCCTTGGCTTTCAGTTTTCAAGTCCATTTCTGAGGCTGATACTTCAACAACGTGCATTCACATAGCACCTTTTGCACCTTCAGCCATTCCAATCAGCTTCAGAGGACTGGGTTCTCAACTGACTCTGAGTCACATGTCACAACATTAGGACAGGTGACCTGAAGCTTAGTCAATGGGATTTTACGGCGAGTAACCTAATGAAGGAAAGACGGATGGATGGGGAGAGGTTTTGGGAGAGGATTCTCAGGCCAGGAGCCTAGGCAGCTGAAGGCATGGCCACCAAAGTAGAGCTTTTAAAATTGGAGGGTGGCAAAATGCTGGAATTGGAGGAGTGCACAGAACATGGAGGGTTGTAGAGATAGGAGGAGGCTACAGAGATAGAGATGGGTGTCAGGGCTGGAAGGGGTCACAGAGAAAGGGAGGGGTGTCGGGGTGGAGGAGAATAGAGATAGGTTGGGATATAAGGGCAGACGTAGGTTACACATGGAGGGGTGTAGGGGCTGGAGGAGGTTACAGAGATAAGGAATGGTGTACGGCTTGTAGGAGGTTAGAGATGAGGATGGGGGTTAGAGGCTGGATGAGATTACACAGATGGGGAAGGGTTTAGGGGCTGGAGGAGGTAACTAAGATGGGAAGAGATAAAGCCATGGAAAGATTGGAATCCAGCCCCTGACACTATTGTGTTTTGTTTGTAGGACTGCATCCGGCTGGACTGTGCAGCAACTGGAGTCCATGGATAGACTTGTCTTCATCCTTTCGCCTGATGATATTCACAAACTACCAAAGGTAGAGATCACTAAGCCTGCCTCCCTGTGGTAAGATAGATAAGAATGGTTTGATTTTAAGCCACATTCCAGCTCTTTCAGTAAATGTATCCAATGCACACCTTCAACATTTACTCCCTCACCACCACACATAGTGGCAGCCTTTGTACCATCTTTGTAAAAAATCATTCATGGGATATGGGTATCAGTGCAATAGCAGCATTTATTGCCCATCCCTAATTGCCCAGAGGGCAGTTCAGAGTCATCCACATTGCTATGGGCCTGGAATCACATGTAGCCAGACCAGGTAAAGGATTGCAGATTTCCTTCCCTGATGGTAGGAGAGAGCCTGAGTGAACCAGCTGGGTTTCTATGACCCTCAGTGATGGTTACGTGGTTGCCATCGGTCTAGCTTTTAATTTTGAATTTCACCACCTGCTCTGGTGAGGTTTGAACCCATGTCAACCCAGAACATCAGCCTGGGGTTTTGGATTATTAATCCAGTCACATTACCACCACACTTCCCAGCTACACAACTCACTGCAGTATCTCACCAAGGCACCTCTGACAGCACCTTCCATGACCTCTACAATCGAGAAGGACAAGGCCAGCAGATACATAGGAACACCACCCCCTGCAAATTTCCCCTCCAAGCCACTCACCATCCTGACTTGGAAATATGTCACCGTTCCTCCAGTGTTGCTGGGTCAGAATCCTGGAACTCTCTTCCCCGTGAAAATCTCCTGAGCCCCGGAAGTCAATTGGGTCCTCGCTCATTAGAGAGAGAGTGTGATGACTGGTGGTGAGGTTAAGGCTCTGGTCACCATGCCTCAGGCAATGCAGGAATTGAACCCACACTGCCAGTGTCCCTCTTCATTGCAAAGCAGCCATCCAAGTAGACAGGTGAGAGGGGAAAGATATAAAAGGGGTCTAAGGGGCAACTTTTTCATGCAGAGGGTGGTTCCTAAATGGATGAACTACCAGAGGAAGTGGTGGAGAATTGGGTACAATTGTATCTGGATGGGTACATGAATAGGAAGGCTTTAGAGGGATGTGGGACAATTGCTGGCAAATGGGAATAGATTAATTTCAGATATTTGGTCAGCATGGACGAGTTGGACAGAAGGGTCTGTTTCTGTGCTGTACAGCTCTATGACCCTATAACTGGCTGAGCTAACATATCTCCAACAGCACTGTGGCTGTACCTAACCTGCATGGTTTGAAATGATTCAAGAAGGCAACTCAACATTGCCATCTTGCAGGCAATTTTTAAAAGCTTTTCATTGTGCATTTGTGACCAACTCTGGATGCTATCAGCCTGGTGACTACTCTTTGATTCCTGGGCAGCTGAACAGCTTGCGGGTGTGAACAATATAGAGAGAAGTCTTTTGGACTGCTGTGAAGGCAGGTTGTGTGTCTCTCTCACTCTCTCTCTGTCTCTGTCTGAACTCCTTTAAGATACTTTTTAAAGCTTACCTACTTTCAAAACATTTGGTTATCTACACACACAGCTCAGTGTTAAATTTTGTTTGATAATTGCTACTGTGAAAGGGTGATTTATTAGAATAAAGACCGGATTCTATGACAAGTCGATGCTATTTTAGGAGATAAGCTTAAAACCCCTCTCAGTGGCTCAGTTGATCAGAGGGTTTGTTTGTTTAATCTGATCCACGTTGAATTTGGCTGGCCCCTGGTTTGATGGGACCACAGTTTGTCTCTATGCCCTAGAAGATATTTCCAGTCCTGATTGATATCCATCGGCAGCCACCCTGCATGTGACTACTTCCCTCTGATTGTAACTTCCTCCCACTACCCAAATCCCCCCTCCCTTTTGTGTTGGTGCTCCCACTGAGTCAGTAGTTTGTAGGTTCAATTCCCCATTCCAGAGATCTGAGCTCAATATTCAGACTGAAACTCCCAGAGCAGGGAGTGCTGCACTGACAGAGGTGCACTCTTTCAGATGAGGTGAACACAAGAGATCACATGGCCACTATTTCGAAAGAAGGAATTTCCCCAGTGACCTATCTATTCTCTTGAAATGTTGCCAACAAAACAGATTATTTGATCACTTTGTGGATGTTGGGATCTTGCAGTGTGCAGACTGCTTGCTACATTTTCAACTCTGCAAGAGTGGTTGCACCTCAAAAATGCTTCATTGTCTGTGAGGAGCTTTGGGCCATGCTCTAGTTGGGAAATGCTCTGGAGGTGTCCACGTTCTTATTTTTATACTTGAGCTTTCCATATTAACTGGTTTTCACTTCAGAAGGACTGGAATTTATGGGGAGTTGATGGCCTAGTGGTATTAATATTAGAGTATTAAACCAGAGATCTAGGTAATGTTCTGGGGACCCAGCTTCGAATCCTGCTGTGGCAGGTGGCAGAATTTGAATTCTATAAAAATCTGGAATTAATACTCTAATTGTTGATTGTCAAGGGAAAGGTCGATCTGGTTCACTAATATCCTTTGGGGAAAGAAACCTTATCTAATCTGGCCTACATGTGACTCCAGACCCACAGCAACTCTTAACTGCCCTCTGGGCAATTAGGGATGGACCAGTGCTGCCAACGCTCAGTGATTGAATGGAACAAAAAGCTATTCCTGACAATTCTGTCTCTTTTCCAACAGGAGGTGCTGACAGCGGAGGTGGTGGAGTTGGTTCTCCGCAGTGAGGGCCGATGGGGAGCGAGTGACATTGGCAGGGTCTGCCAGGAGCAACAGAGAGAGTCTGCGCGCACAACCCTCCTCAGCAAAAGGCTCAGCTTAGTGACCACAGCCATAAAGAGCATCACAAAGAGGCGAAGAGGTGAAGAGGCAAACACCGTATGGCCCCAATGCTGAGATAGGCGCAGTGCTTGTTCCCCAACCCCCGACCTCCCCCCCCCCCCCCCCCCCGCCGGGGCCCGGAGACAGGCGCAGTGCCTGTACCCCCCCTGGAGATGGGCGTTGTGCCCATACTCCCCCCTCCCCAGGGCCCGGAGACGGGCGCGGGGCCCGTACCTTAAATTTGATGCAGACTATGGAATGGACAAAGCAGGGAAAGCTAAGCTGGCCACTCTGTCTGAGTTGTTTTCAGTGGAAATTGTTCAAAGGTGAGTGTGGTGTTAAAGGGAAACAGGGTGGGGTTCCTGATCGCAGTGCCCCCAATGTAGTGAAACTGCCCAACAGCTGTCCCTGCCAGGTCTGGTCGGGAGAGTCACTGGGAGTGAAACTGGATTTTGCCTCAGCGTGAGGCTTCCCCTTGTACTTCAGCAGCACAGGGGCAGCATCTAATAACATTGTTTCATATAATATTTTTACACACTCTCTTGGTTTGGGCATTGTTAGCAGGACTGGCATTTATTACTCTGAAAAAGTTGTGGCAGGCCACCTTCTTGAACTTGCCAGAACAGGTGGTCCTACAATTCTGTTAGGGTGGGAATTCCAGGATTTTGACTCAGCGACAGTGAAGGAACAGCGATATATTTCCACGTCAGGATGGTGTGTGACTTGGAGAGGAAGTTGCAGGTGGTGGTGGTCCCACATATCTCCTGCCCTTGTCCTTCTAGTGGTTCTCAAGGTACTGCCTAGGAAATCTTGAGAAAAGAAAAGCTGATATTCCCTGTGCTCCCCATTGTAGAGGGCATCCCAATCTGCATCGACATCAGAGCCACGTTTCCCATGGCCTGGAGCAGCAGCCAGCTCGCTGGTATGGCTGACAATGAATTTGCCGACTGTTTGGAAATTCTCACCAATGACCAGGATCTGTCAGCAGAGCATCTGAAAGTCCTGCTCACAAAGACCAAGCAGGTGAGTGGAGAAACCATAGCATCTAGCAGCAGATCAGAATTCATACTCGCATGGGACTGAGCAGCAGGAGCCACCCATGCAACCCCTTGAGCCACTGCTACTCCCATTCAATGAACTCAAGGCTTTTCTAATTTATTCGTTTGTGGGACGTGGGTGTCACTGGCTGGATCAGCATTTATTATCCGTCCCTAGATGCCCTTGAGAATGTAGGGATGAGCTGCCTTCTTGAACCGCTGCAGTCCATGTGCTATTGGTACACCCACAATGCCCTTAGGGAGGGAATTCCAGGATTTTGACCTAGTGACAGCAAAAGAATGATGATATATTTCCTAGCCAGGATGGTGAGTGGATTGGAGGGGAACTTGCAGAGGATGGTGGTCCCATGTGTCTGCTGCCCTTGTCCTTTCAGATGGAAATGTCTGTGGGTTTGGAAGGTGCTGTTTGAGGATCTTTTGGTGATCCTTTTGGCCAATCTGATTGCAACCTTATCTCCACTTTCCGGGTGCCATTTGAATAATCAAAAATAAGTTAATGTTTATCTGATTGTGGTATGAACACTGCTCTCTTCCCATCCACATGCCCCCCAACACTACAAATAAAAAATAACTTACTTGAGTATTTAATTGAATGAAAATTCTACCGCCTGCAATGGTGGGATTTGACCCTGTGTCCTGGGAGTGTTAGCCTGGATCTCTTGGATTATTGCTCCAATGACTTTATCAATAAGCCAACATCTCCCCTTCATTGTGGCCCTCGGTGGGGGGACCGAGTTTCGAAGGGCAAGAGTGTGAAGAACCTTTGCAGCGAATGCGAGAGTGGAAATTGCAATCAAGGTCAATGTGCCAAAAGTTACAGAGCGAGGGGGTAGGGATGTGCCCTTACTTGATAGAGGGTGTAGTGCATTGGGGGCAGTTCACTGAAGGGTCACTGGACTAATTCCAGAGATGAGGAGAGATTGAGCAGTTTAGGCCTATGCTTGTTGGAGTTTATAAAAATGAGATGAAATGTAATTGAGGTCTATACGATACTAAAGGGGATTGACAAAGTAACCATAGGGAGGGTGTTTCCTCATTTGGTGCAATGTAGAAAAAGAGGTTATAGTTTTAGGATAAGGTTTGGCAGATTCAAAACACATGAGGAGAAATTACTTCTCTCAAAGGGTCATGAATCTTGGCGTTCACTCCCCGATAGTGCAGTGGATGCTGGGGCATTGAGTAAACTTAATGCAGAGACGGATTTTTAATTAGTAATGGGTCGGAGGGTTGTAGAGAGTGGGGCAGGGAAAGTGGAGTTGAGGCCGAGCTGAGATGAGCCACGATGGCATGGCACCGGCGAAGGGCTGAATGGCCTACTCCTGCTCCTAATTCTTATCAACCGAGCAATGGAGGTAATGACTTACAGAGGACACAGAGGCAGGAGCAGCGTTAGGCCGTTAACTTGCTCCATCTTTTGATAAGACTGTGGCAATGCTGCCAGCTCTTGCACTCCCTCATGCTGCCATCATTGTCAGAACTCACGTACTGGGCCCATGTTGGACAGGGGGTCAGGCTGCGGCTGTGACGGTGAGATTGAGAGATTTCACTGTTCGTGCAACTTGTCCAATTTCTTGAAACCAAAAGCGCAAATATTGACTTTTCAAAATGACAGGAAGTCCAATTTGAATCCATTACCCGGTGATTCCTGATGATAAACTGGCGACAGTGATCCTAAGGAATGTCTAGATAGGAGCATTTCCAGAGAAACTCTTCTCTTTTCCCTTAAAGGAGAGGCTTAATTTATCAGGCAGACATTCACTGATTTTTTTTTTGTCAAGGGGCCTTAAAGGGGAGGAATGTTTACTCAAAGTGATGTGCTGCATGTTCCGAAAGTACTGAGCAATTTTATTTTAAGAAGCAGCAGGTCATCAGCTTTCATTAACTGGGGCCTAATGGATTTCCAGTGTAACACAAACCTGAAATAGCATCAACGAAACAGAGATCAAACAGAAGATAATGGGTGAACATTGTAACAGACAGGAAAGGCCAGTGTTACCCAGCCAGGAGCAGCTCCATTGACTACAATCTGTGACAGAACCAAAGTGCCAGCTGCTTCCTTAATTGTGTTGCATGAGGAGGCTATGGGCACAGAATCCAATGGAAGTGACACTCCAGCTCTGGCCAGATTCAGCTCACCTCACTCAGGGGTAGACTGGCCTTCAAAGGGATGCAGTGAACACTCAACAGGAAGATCAAGGGTTAACGCCCGAGGGCGAGTTACACAGACTTGCTGAGTTTCCTTGAGTATTAGAGATGAAGGCATACGGTGCCGACGGAGGTGTTTAAGTTATTAAAGGAATTGACAAAGTGGATAGAGAGAAGCTGTTTCCTTGGGCAGGCACACCCCATGGTAAGACGGGCCAGAATATTGACGTTCAAACCAGGCCATTCAGGGTCATCATTGGGAAACCCTTCCTCATAGAAAGTGGGAGAGAAATCTTAAATTCTATCCAGCTCTCCCACCCACAATGACCAAAAAAATAACCGTTGTAGCTGAAGTGTCAGTGGATCAGGAACCAATTCTAGATCAGCTGAGGTCTAACTGTGTGACAAAACGGACTCTATAGGCTGAATGGTCTACTGCTAACATGTAAGTTTAATATGAACTAACTTGGTTAGTTCTGGGATTTTGATGTGGAGGTACCGCTGTTGCTCTGAGGTGGGCAAAGTCAGAAGTCACACGACACCAGGTTATAGTCTAATAGATTTATTTGAAATCACGAGGTTTCGAAACATAGCCCCTTTGTTAGATGAAGTCACATTAGTGACCACTCAGAAGTTAAATTGCCTGTTTTCTCTGTCCCCTAGTTGTATGGCTCTGTAAGACTAATGAAACCATGGCAGGTCCTGCAGATGGGCCGTGCAGTCACCCAGCTCGGTGAGCGACATTTCCAGAACTTAGATCTCTCCGACTTGGCGGTTCTGACCTTCCTGGGGGAGGTGGGCGAATGGAGTAAAAAACAGGTAAAGTTAACCTTCTCTTTCACCTTCTCTCTAATTGTCCTCCAACCTTTTTAGCTTTTCCTACTGCTGGAGGTTTGTAGCAGAAGGAGGCCGTTCAGCCCGCTGTGTCTGTAACTACCCTTCAAGTGAGCTTCACAACTTGGTGCTATTTTCTGGCCCTTAGCCCGTATTCTGTTTTGATTTCGATAACCATCTCTCAAATGCCTCAACTGAACCTGCTGTCACGACGCTTCCAGGCAGTACCTTTCAGACACGATTCACCCACTGTGCGAAAATGTATTTTATGTCCCAATCACTACCTTTGCAAATCACTTTAAATCTGCACCCTCTCATTCTTGATCCTTTCTTAATAGCTTCTCCCTCACTATTCTATCCAGCCCCTTCATGATTTTGATGAGTTCTATCAGATTTCCTCATGGACTTCTCTCCAAGAAGAACAGCCTCAGTCTCTCCGATCCATCCTCATTACTGAAGTTTCTCATTCCTGGAACCACATTTGTCAACCTGTTCTGCGGTCACTCTAATGTGTTCACAATCTGTCCTTTAATGTGGCGCCCATTGCTGAACACAGTAACCAAGCTGAAGTCTAACAAGAGTCTTGCACAAGTTCAACATTGAGTCTCTGCACTTCTAGTCTATGCCCCTATTAACAAAGCCCAGGATGCCCAAAGAACCAAAGAGGCCATGATTTCCAAGACGATAGTCTCTGGACAGTGATCAGGAGTGGGAAGCTTGACTAACGTAGTCTTGTTTCTACCCTGGGGTATGGGAAGTACTTGCTGCAATGTCTCATTGCCCTGAGTAAGATCGCTGGGTTAACAAAGATTGGTGATTGAACCTGAGACCTGAGGCATCTGTGAGATTCAGCAAAGCAGCAGACACCTGCACTGACTGACTATGTTACAGGAGGAGCCTTCACTGTGAGCAGAAGGTGACCTGAGGGAAACTCTGCCTATGCCTGTACTGTCAGAGGTCAAACTGTCTGCCATCGCCGTGTGCATTAAAACATCCCACGGGCGCTACTTTGAAGAGGAGCAGGAGGGTTCCCTCTGCTGTCCTGACAAATAACTAACCCTCAGACAACACAAATAAAGAACAGACCATCTGGCCATTTCCCTGTTGCCAGTTAGCTTACCGTGTGTAAATCAGCTGCTGCATTTTGCAATCGTGACTCCACTTTCAAAAGCAATTGATTGACTGTGAAACATTTGGGATGACCCAAGGTCACAAAGAGCTCTATACAAATGCAGAGATAACAAGGTGTAGAGCTGGATGAACACAGCAGGCCAAGCAGCATCAGAGGAGCAGGAAAGCTGACGTTTCAGGCCTAGACCCTTCTTCAGAAAATCCTGAAACATCAGCTTTCCTGCTCCTCTGATGCTGCTTGGCCTGCTGTGTTCATCCAGCTCTACACCTTGTTATCTCAGATTCTCCAGCATCTGCAGTTTCTACTATCTCTATACAAATGCAGCTTTGCTTTGTTTTGGAGTTACTGTCTCTGTTTAATGTTCCAAGTCTCTGAGGGACTAGCCAGTGTATCTATCAACCTGGCTCAGCAGACAGTACTCTCATGTTTCAGTTGGTCGAGGTATTAAACCAGGACTTGAGAAGCTCCACTGTGGGAGTGCTGTATTGTCAGTGGTCATTGTGATCAGGATGAAATATTATACTGAGACCCTATCTGCCCGTTCAAGTGGGCATTAAAGACTTGGAGATACTCCAGGAGTCCAGACCAAAATTCCCTCTTCCAACCAACATCACAAAGAAATCATTAAGTTGAGCGTTCATAGATTCATAGAACCATCCAGACGAGGCCCTTCAGCCCATTGAGTCTGCACTGACCAAAAAAAATTCTATATCCAGCACATGGCCCATAGTTTTGAATGTTTTGCCATTTCAAGCGATCATCTAAGTACTTTTTAAAGGTTGTGAGGTTTCTTGCTTCAACACCCCGCCCAGGCAGTGCATTCCAGACCCCCACCACCCGCTGGGTGAAAATGCTTTTTCTCAAATCGCCTCTAAACCTCTGCCTTTCACTTTAAAATTATACTCCCTTGTTATTGACCGTTTGACTAAGGGAAACAGCTGCTTTCTATCCCCCCTGTCCATGCCCCTCATAATCTTACACACCTCTATCAGGTTTCCCCTCAGCCTTGTGTGCTCCAAAGAAAACAACCTGAGCTTATCCAGCCTCTCTTTGTAGCTGCAAGTTGATTTTAGGATCTTGCTGCACTCAAATGATGGTTGCATTTTCCTCGATTGCAGATGTTTTATTTCAAAGCTAATTAATTGGATTTGAAATGCTCTGAGCTGTATCTGAGGGAGGTGATAAACTGCTGTTTAGATATAGATCCTTTCTGACCAGAATGATGGGAAGCAATTGGATGCAATCCAGTCATTTCTGAGCAGGAGTGGAAAGAAAGAGTTTGAACAGGACATTTCCTGATGTCAGGACATTTTTTACAAGCTGTGAGACACTGCTGAAGTGTAGTCCCCATTGTAAAACAGGAAACTCAACAGCCAGGTAGTGCACAGGGAGATCGCACAAACTTTAATGATGTGATACTCTGCTGTTGGTCGAGGGATTAATTTTGGCCTGGACGTTGGGAAGAATTCCCCCACTGTTTTTCAGAACAGCACAATGACATCATACCGGTCATCTGAAAGAGCTCAGGGGTCCCTGGTTTAGCACCTCAACTGGAGATGCAGTGCAGCACATCCCTAGCACAGCACTGAGAGAATCATACCTGGATTCCAGGCCATATCCCGTTAATTCACAGCCTCTGGACTTGAGAACCGTATACTCCCCACTGAGCTGCAACTAAAATTGATACCTCCTCCTGCAGGAGCCAACTTCAGTGCTCTGAGTCTCTCGGTGACAGAGGTTATACACAGCTTTGAGTCATAAATTCACATTCCCATCCTTCCCTTCTGTTCCCCCTCAAGGGGCAAAGCAAAATGTTTGTTCTGTTAAAAGCACCTCCTTGTGTCTTCTAGAGGAGGGCAGGATTTAGTAGCTTCCTCCGATGGAGCAGGGAGCCTGTATCAAAGCTGAAGGCCACGACCCTCACTGCCCTGGGACATTTGATCTGTGGGATGTCAGTCACAGAGATGGAGAACATCAATCCAGAGGAATTCAGGTCAGGAAGAGGGGAATGGTGGCGATGGAAACGTTGACGTTCTGCCTCATTATTTCAACTTCAACTTCCTCAGTGGTTGGAAGTCTTTTTTTTTTGTTCTTTTCAATCTTCTTTCCCCTGAACCTCTACCTTCTCGGGTGAGGGGTCACTCAACTGAGAGAGCTGAAAGGGAGGTTTAACAGATTAACCCCTTCTCCTTAAACTGGGGCTGGGATGGGGCGGGGCAGCTAAAGACACACCTGATGGCTGCAACATCGCAAAGTCTTCAGATAACTTGAATTGACACCAAACGCACATTGGTGACTTGGGACTTGGGGAGGTTACTTGTTCACAGTACACTGCCACAGTGGAAGCACTGACTCAGCATTGTGCACCAACCACACTGGTAGCAAAACATCTGATCCTGCTACAATAGTGTTTGGGGGGGGACAGTGTGGAGGGAGCTTTACAGTGTCTCTGACCCTGTGCTATTCCTCTCCTGGGGCTTTTGATAGGGGCAGTGTCGAGGTAGCTTTACTCCGTATCTAACCCATGCTGTCCCTGTCCTGGGGCTTTTTTAGGCAGACAGTCTTAAGGGAGCTATAGTCTGTATCTAACCCTGTGCTGTCCCAGTCCTGGGAGTATTTAATAAGTCACTGGAGTCTAGAAAGTGAGATTTTAACCATTCCTCTTGCCCCTCGCTTTGAATAGCTCTTAACAAAATGAATAAAGAGGTTTGATGTCAGTGAAATTTTAATTTGAATGAATTAAAACGGAAGATGCTGTAATTGGCTGGCTCACAGGCTGCTTCTCTTCATTTCCAGTAAGGCTGTCTTATTCCTCGGGGGTTTGAAGCTCAGATGCTCTGAAGCCCAGCTGGAGGCACTGGCCAGGCTCGTCACACAGCCCCAGGCCTTTGGGCTGGTCAGCAACTGGGGTGCTGAAATCTTCACTGAAATTGGGTCCATTGCAGGTAATGGGTTCAACGTCTTCTTCCTATTGGGAATGGAATCACTAAAGTCATGCACAGCAAGCAAGTTGACCAGAAATACTGATGTGTCTGGTGAATGCCATGTCCCAACAAAATCATTATCCCATTGTTCGCACAAACTGAGGTGGACAAATGCAAATCCATGTTGGCAATGCTCCATAAGTTACTCTTTATCTAACCGTGCCCTGGGAGTGTTTGATGGGGGACAGTGTAGAGGGAGCTTTACTCTGTATCTAACCTGGTGCTGTCCCTGTCCTGGGCGTGTTTAATGGGGACAGTGTAGAGGCAGCTTTACTCTGCACCTAACTCCATGCTGTCCCTGTGTTGGCAGTGCGATAGGGGACAGTTAGAGGAGTGCCCTGGATGTATTAAGGTGAGGAGGAGGGCGGTAGACAGTTGATTTGTCCCCTTAGCCCTTCATTGTTTCCCCTCAATTGCTTGTCTCATTCCTTTTCATGAGTTGTTCTTGAATCTGATTCTGCTGCACATTCCAGATCACGACAACTCGCTGTGTTGAACAAATTTCTCCTCTATTCCCCTTGTGATTTTTGTCTGGTATCTTTTATCTGTGTTTTTCTCTCTCCTGGAGCCTCTTGCCATTGGAAGCAGGTCCTCACTGGGGCTGAGTTTGTGAAGGGCCCTGGTCAGTTCTGGCCATTGAGGGGCCTGGCAGCAGAGTGAAGCTGGTTCCCTGATACTGCATGGAGCAGCGGGAGTTGGAGGAATAACAGGATAAAGCTGCGTGTTATCCATTTCAGACACCTCCCGAAGGGAATCTTGTCTATTTCTCCTATTGTGGGATGTGGATATCATTGTCAAAGCCAGCATTTGCTTCTCATCCCTAATTGCCTGTGAAGTGGATGGAAGGTTGACAGGGAGATGCAGGAATGTAGAGTTGAGGTTAATATCAGACCAGCCATGCTTTTATTGAGTGGCCTACTCCTCTCCCTTGAATGTATGATGATGTGTTTGTATGGATGGGTTGCTGGGCTGCAATGAGCTGAACTATGACACAGTCTCATCACGGTGATCCCACAGAAGGCCCTTAAGCCGTAGTGGTAGTGTCCCTACCACAGAACCAGGAGGCCCGGGTTTAAGACCCGCCTACACCAGAGCTGCGTGTAATAACATCCCTGAACAGGTTGATGAGAAAATTTCTACAAGATGTATCATGGGGATGCTGGCTTTGGGAGGATGTGTCTGGGAGATGGTGGGTCTTTCTGAGCTGATTTCTGCCAGTTGAGCCTCAAGTCCTGCCTGTTTCTCAGTCTGACATTGCCAAGAGCGAGCATCAATTTTAAAAGGTTTGAAGGGGGAAATGAAACAGCTTATATTTCTATAGTGCTGTCCACATCCTCTTTCTAGCCCTTCAGTTACTTTGGAAATAACTATTTTGTTGCAGCAGCCCATTGGTGACTTGGGACTTGGGGAGGTTACTTGTTCACAAAACACAGAAAGCTAGTACATAAGGGGGCAGCAGGGAATCAGGAAGGCAAATGGAATGTTGGCCCTTATTCCCAGGGGGTTGGAGGATAAGACTAGGGACATCTGACTGCATCCGTACCGGTGAGATCATGTTTGGACTAATGTCAGCAGTTCTGGTCCCCGTATTTAAGAAAATAATGTTAGTTTAGAGGAGGCAATTCAGAGAAGGTTCACCAAGATGATCCTTGGTATGGAGGTATTCTGATAAACAGTCATTGGACTCAAAGTGTTAACTCTGCTTTCCTCCCACTGATGCTGCCAGACCCGCTAAGTTCCTCCAACAAACTCTCTGTACTTTTGTTTCAGTTCTCCGCATCCACAGCTCTTTGTTTTATTGTCCTGGTCTGGAGGGATGGTATTATGAGCAAAAGTCAAACAGGTTTGGACTCTATTAACTAAAGTTCAGAAGAATGAGAGGTGATCTTCTTAAAACATAGAGGATTCTTAAGGGACTTCACAGAGTAAATGCTGAGAGGATGTTTCCCCTCAAGAGAGGGTCTAGGATCAAAGGGCATAGTCACAGAATAAAGGGGCACCAATTTAAGACTGAGATAAACAGGATTTTTTTCTCTGCGGGTTGAGAGTCTTTGGAACTCCTGGCCACAGAGAGCTGTGGGGACAGAGGCCTTGTGTGTCTATTTAAGACTGAGATAGATTCTCGATCAGAGATAGTAGGAACTGCAGATGCTGGAGAATCCGAGACAACAAGGTGCAGGGCTGGATGAACACAGCAGGCCAAGCAGCAT